CGTGCCGATGCAACCCAAAACCATCAAGGCATAGGCGTGCTTTGTGTCGTGTTGCGCTTGTCCCAATAAAACTTCATGTCATACTTGCACAAGTCCAAGACTAAAGATTGTAGGGCTAGCCCAGCACAACAAGCCCATCCTGTACTTGAGCCTTTTCTTACAGAATTTTTTTGATTGTTGAAAAACATAATTCTGTCTTAGTAAAATTCAAATTAAATGGTGGCATTCACAGTGAAAGGAAATAAATAAAAACAATAACAGTAGCGTCATATTTTAGTTACTGAGGAAAAAAAATTTACTTACACATATGTGAGCGACATCCAAATATATTTATTTTTTAGATGCTACAAAATCTGTCGAATGTTAATATGCAAGTAAATTATGACTATTTCTACATCAAAAAATTGTGATCGTTGTGCCAACCCATCATGCTCAATAAGTCATGTTGTGTCAAGCCATCGTGCATAAAATCATGAGTTTGGCACGGCCCACCACTTTGTGCCGTGCTTAGCTTGGCCCAAGATAACATCATGGGTACCTAGCCCAGCCCGAAATTTTTCATCCCACATGTTCAATTTCCAGCCCAGCCCAATTAAATTCTCTAATTTCTTGCAATTGAAAATTTTCATTCGTTTAACCTAACAAATTGAAGATGCAGAAATAACCTACATACGACGCAAACCATGTCAAAAGGAAAATCAAGAAGGGACACAAACAACCATTAGGGTGAAATTAAGTATGCTTTCCTTTTCATGGCATCAAGTAGTCTGAGCATTCCCATAAAGCAGCTTACATAAACATAATATGCTCTGCTATCTATTGGTTAGCAGAGAAAATACAAGAGGAACAAAAACAAAGGAACTTCCAACACTAGTATCCCACAAGAACTTCATCAAAGCAATCCTAACTATTTACCATTTAAAAGAAGAAGTTGTCAAACATAGATATAGCACCACAAGAAACCGTTTGATTCAAGCAATCCTAACTATTTGCCAATCAAAAGAGAAGATGCCAACATAGATATGGCAACACAAGTAAACCAACCTGCAGTGGCGGAGTGACTCATACCGCTCCTTCTCGGTCATTACGGTTTTTCCCTTATACGTATGAGTGGTTTCATTGTTGCAGCATCCAACAAGCAGGTAAGTATTTGGGAACCTAAAGTTTTGCAAAACCAAAAGGCTCCAACATCAGATAAAGTTTAGTCCTGGGGACATAAAAGTGCAAAACACCCTGTAGATTGATAAACATGGATTCAATTGTGACAAAAAATTGCAGAACAATTTCAATAGCTTCCTTCCCTTGAGAATTAAATCCAATGCAAAAATTCAATTATATTGATGAAAAAAGAGATTCTGTCCATTCCAGGGAAACCATTCTTATATATACCTATAGTTATATCGATACATATATTTCTCTTGCTCATCAAGACCCAAGAAAAACTTTGTTGGAAAAACAAAAAGAAATAAAATAAAATTAAGGAACAAAATTTAGCACTGGTTGAAACATATAACAAAAGTATTGTCAAAAAAAAAATTCACAATTCTTCAAGAGGTCTTAACAAGATAAAAATTAAACCAAAACCCATTTACAAATTGGAATATGAAAAACTTCCATTAACTGAAAAACGAAATTCGAGTTCTGAATGGGGCCAGTGAAGAACAGAGAGAAAATTACTTGATAAAAAACAAAGAAAGAAAGAAAAAAAAAAAGGGA